TTATCCTAAACCGTATCTGGGCCAGTTTTGGCAAAGATATGGCACAGTGAGCACTGGCTAATGTGGCTGTGAGCCTAAAGTGGCCCTTATATGATGTCGCAAATGTGGCCCACATATAAAATGACAAATATTGCCTAAACAATTAATAACAATTTGGGACACTTTTGGCCAATATACGGCACAGTCAGCATTGGCTAATCAGTGTGTAAGCCAACAATGCGGGCCAGTTCTGCTTTATTTGATTTATTCATGGCTGACATTGGGCCTTCTTTTGGCTTGCTTGTGGCCCAAATCGGGCAAACAGGAGCAGACCGCCCAATTGCCATCATTCCACGTGGTATGTGGGCCAGATGAAAGTGTCAGGTGTGGGCCTGATCTAGGCCTCAGGAATTTTGCTATCTGGGGTGAGTGGAAATATATCTATGCTAAACTTGTAATTTGCCCCTAACACACACACTGGCAAGTAAAATCTAAGAATTTTTTAGGCAATGGCTAACGATAGACATTATTTAGTCGCCCAGAGTAAGATTTAGTAGCATATGCGAGTGGTTTACTCGCAATGTAGAGGGTTGTGAAGTACAAATTCCACTGAGTAAAGCAAAAATTAAAGGAAGAATTGAAGAACACATGAATAAATGTAATGGAAAGTAGAATTTAAATTATTATATAAATTTTTTTTTCCCCCATTGATGCTTCACAGTAGTCCAGTTGGTGGTAGTTGTTTTGTCAACCGTCATTAAGCGTTACAAGAAGAAGAAGAAGATGGTTGCTCATATAAAGACAACAGTGGAAAATGGAAAGCAATCTGATACTGTTTGATATTTTATAGCAGGTGGGTTAATGTTTAACTCATAATGAGAAAATAATATATTTATCTATATTTTACTTGGACGGCAGTTCAACTACATTAAGAAATATTACACACATAAAGAAAATAACACTGTCAAAAGGTTGAAAAGCCTGTATTAAAATGTTAAAGTAAGAAATGTTTTGACCGGGGTCTTCAACCTTTTTACAGTAGATGGATGGAGAGATGGAGCAAGGACTCCCCATACATACAGTATTGTAAAAGACTGAGATTTGCATTCTAGGTCTGGCCTATAAGAACATCTTTACATCAGTAGGCCTAAACCTACCCATAATTTATCCCTAAAATCAGAAGGAAATTATAGTTGAATAACAAGAGAAGGAAAGCACCTAACTCTGGTCGTAAGGCTAAAACTGATATTTCCTGTAAACTTATGCCTCAACTCTGATTGATTGCTTGGAATGTTGTTCCAGGATCAACAAGGATGTTGATCCAGGGACATTTTGCATTTGGTGAATTCCCATTCACCGTTACTAGGCAGAAGTGGATTTTGAAATTTGATTAGCTCAGCTTGTTGCTCAAGTTAAAAGGGTTGAAGGATTAATATTCAGACAGCAGTCTAGTATTTGTTCCCTCCATCTACATCAGTTGTTTTACCACACTTTCACCAGGCCTACAGATTGTCTTTAAAGGTGTATTTTTAATGCATATGAAAACATACCAGAATAAAATATTAGTCTTGCAAGCAAAAATACATGTTAGTTATGACTTTGAGCTTCATGAATTTAGTAAGATTGTCAAAGAGGGAAAAGTAAATGGCCAACAAATGAACTGTGGTGACTGTAATTATCAAAGACCCATGAAGTCTCACAGAGATGCACATAGACACAATATCCTTTCTCAAGAGTCAAAGAGATTGAATTTTTCTGTTGATTCATAGCGGTCACCTAGAGGATAATTAAAAACAATTACCATCTGTTTTCCATTTTTAAGGGTCCTAAATTAAGAACTTTAGATAAGCGATTATGTCCAGAGAAACTGAAGAAACAGGCCCCTTTTACAGGTGCTGTGAAGATACCTTTAGTCAGGACCCCTTGGCGTAGGTTTTTGACGCTCAAGGTACCGCTTTAGCATCATTTTTTGATGTGCAGGGTCCTCCATTGTTTTCAGTTTTTGGCTTATTTTAATGGTTTGCATGCATTTGTAAAAAAAAATAGAAATAATTTTATATAAATGTGTACGTTCATTGGAGCACATAACCCCACCCCTACCCACTTCTGAACAATATAAAACATGTAGCAGGCAAATATAAGTACAGTTACAGGCATTTATTGCAAAAGCTGACCATAAAAAACAGTATAAAAGCATTACATTAAGTCATGTTGCATTCCAAGTCTTCTGAAGCCATGCGATATCTTTATGCGAAGAAGAGAGTAAAACATAAGGTTTTAATCGCTGAAAATGATCCCGCTCCGTTAACGTGCTCACATTATTATTATTGTTATACTTTATTCTCAAATTATTAATGTTAACAACATCAGCATTGCGTGACTATGAGTATAGTGTGTATTAGCGTGATTTCTGTACAGTCTAATCTCTAATTGTCATACCATTCGAATTTCATATTAAGAAATTATTTTAACCCAAAAAGCAAACTATGCTCCCTTCGAACTGGTTGTCTTTAAAATACAAATCTTGTGTAATACCAGGCTATCTGTAATCAGAAGCACATTTAAAACTGGAATATAATTAAATTTCACTCGCATGTGTTTCATAAACACAATCATTTCTGGATTACAATCCGCCATCAAAGATCATTTTTAACCAAAAAAAGTTACGGACTGCAGCTTTAAAGGAAATTAAGGTCACACTTTATTTTAAGGTCCAATTCTGGCTATTAACAAACCATTAACTATGACCTTTGCCTCAATAAATATATGGTTCTCATTTCCTGTTTACACTAAGGGTATTTGGGGTCAGTATGACCCCAAAATTGATAGAGTAATTTTAATTCAATTCAAGTTTATTTGTATAGCGCTTTTCAAGATACAAATCGTTGCAAAGCAACTTTACAGCAAATTAGGTTTCTACAATATTTAGTAGTAGCTTATCAGTGGTGACTGTCAGTTAATGCACA